CAGTGTCCAGTGACTTATGACATCGTGATTGAGGAGTTATAGAGTCTAACTGCTGTTGGGATGAATGATCTGTGAAAGCGCTCCTTCCTGCAGCGAGGGTGTTTCAGTCTCTGACTAAATAAATATATAAATAAAAATCCAACATTTACCTATTGGTAAATATTAGGGGGAAGGGCGCTAGTTAGTGAACGTGATTAGGCGGAGATCTCATCTGACATAATTAACACACTGCTGTTAATCGTGTCGCCACCTATAATGTATCTTTGGAGTAGTGGCGCCCCCTGGAGACAAGCAGTTAAAACTAGCGCCACCTCAAGCTAAATCAAATTCTGTTTTCTTGCTCTTTAACAATATTTCCGTGCCATCATTGGGCCTGATCTATAGACATTCAATTTCACTAGGATAAATGGCAACTAGAGGCTTCCCACCTGGCAAGACAGGCAACACCTCGGGGCCTCAGGCCAGAGAGTTCACAAACTTTAAACTGCAGCAGTGGCAATGTGCAAATTTTGCAAGGATAGTATGAGAAACCTGGCCTCCCTAAGAGGGCCCTACAACGGAGATGGGAGGGGTCGTCTGTGAATTTTTGCCGAGGGTTAGAACAGATCACCACTGATGACGATGGAGCAGCACGTGACCATTTTCTCAGGCTAGACACCCGCAGACTGACTGCTGCTCCAACGTTTGACCACAAGGTGGAAATAAAACATCAGACAAAAATGCAATACAAGTTGCATGTTTATGAAGTGAATTCATCCATCCATCCGCTTCGGCTTATTCTTTTCAGGGTCGCGGGGGGGCGCTGGAGCCTATCCCAGCTATGAAGTGAATTCCAGCATATTTATTTTTATTTTAATTTACGCTCTTTATCTTCAAATTCCTGTTATTACCAGATACGTTTCAATTATAATCCACTTTATTTCTTGTTCCTGGTTTTCTTTCTTTGCTGCCATAATGGTACTCAAAGCGTGGGGAGAAAATTACCTTATTTTTCCCTCTCAGTAGTCAAGTCAGCTTATATGAATTATCTTCTGCACGCCTCCAGTTTTCCATGTTTGCAGATTATCTTAAAACAGGTATTCATTTAAATCTGAGTTTGATCACTACATCGCTGAAATTCCTGGGGGATTTTCCAGTGTTACTTTTATTTTGATTTAGATTTATTCTTTGGAAAATGTGTGTGTGTGTGTGTGTGTGTGTGTGTGTGTGTGTATGTGTGTGTGTGTGTGTGTGTGTGTAGGCAGGCCTGAGTGTAGAATCGGGCTTAAGTAAACATTTGGCCACAGCCTTGTGTATGGCGTTCTAATTAAAGTGGACAACTTCCTACTAATTAGTAAAACACTCCTTGAGCTTTAAAGGGAAAACCCAAAGGGCACGGTATCCCAAGGGCCCTTTGAAATATGCACAGGAAAAAATTAATAACTTGGCTATCCAACATCAAGCAAGGAAATAATTAGGGTTTTTTGTTTTTTTGTCCTGGTTTTTGACTCTCACTACATGTAGTTTTATCAGGTCAAGGTAACAAGAATGTGATAGCAGGGAGGTTTTTACCCGTCGGACAGCAGAGGGCAGCATAACAGTGTGAGATGCTTTCAGTTATTGTATATATAGCAGATTTCATCACATTTTTTAGAATATGTCTGCGTTTTGAAAGTAAAGACAGATACACATACCAGAATAAAAGTGGCATGTTTATGTATTTCCAGTGAAAACTGCATTTTGTATCATAAATTAACCAGTAATCTGCAAGATTAATAACCTGTTTTTCTCCAATTGTTTTTGGGTTTGTTTGTTTGTTTGTTTGTTTTCATTTTTTTATAATACTAAAATATAATTTTCTCTGCTGCTATGAGACTTTGTAGTATTTTTTAATCTTTCTCAGTCCAGACAGCCTTGTTTACAATGGCTGATAAAGTACAAAGACTGCTCTTTTCCCCCCTTCCAAATCTCAGAGAGTGGCATTCTTCACATTCCACACCGTTTTCCTTCAAAAGTATAAGTCTTCACACTTAATAACTATTGCTAATCAATACATTGATTTAGAAACCTACAGATGACGTTTTACTTCTATTTATTGCATGTTTTTATTCACTAAAATGCTCCAGGTTTTGTTTGTAAGATGTATTCATTGTCAGAACAGCCACTGGGTGGCACAGTCGCCGCAGCTCATTCCTAAAGTCTTTTATTCAGTCTTTCTGGAGTTGCAGTGCTATCTACTGTACATGACTGCATACTGAAGCACAGATTTCAAAATGTATAAATATGCATAGTAAAAGAAAAATATATACAATGTGCATGAAATGCATTTGTATTAAAAACAACAAAAAATAAATACAACCAATGCTGATAACATGCCAAAATACATCATATACAACAATAAAAATACAAAATTATACAACAGCTAAAAAAAAAAAAACGGGCGAAAACAATTCATGTCAGTCATATATATCATTTTTTTTATTGTTTTGTATTGATGGGTTTTGTGTTGTGGACTAATTCCTTCTGCTTGATTTGATTTTGATTTAAGTTTGGCAGTCAGTCTGATATTTGAAAAATAAAAAACATGGTAAAACTATCATGTAAGAAGTTAACACAAATTAAATTGTTATTTATAATAAGTATGTAACTTTGTAATTTCAACGTGTTGTCGCCTCTTGGCCAGGACTCCCTTGAAAAAGAGGTTTTTAATCTCAATGGGACTTTTCCTGGTTAAATAAAGGTTCAAAAAAAAAAAAAAAGACTTCATGCTACAACAGGCTACTGCGCCTTTCAAACACTGGCAAGTACAGTCTTAGCTATTACAGCAGCTAAAATGGTCTCTGCCATTTTAGCGCTCAACACTTGGTTGAGGGGAACATAACTCATCACCTTCCTTCAGCCTCATACCCAAACTGTCGTGGTGTTCGCTGAAGGTTTTTCCTGCAACAGACAAGATAGTTAACATCATTGTTCTTATCATCAGAATTTAAAGTCTCATCTATTTATAAAATACTCTGACATTTACCTTCTGCTGTTGGATATACACCACAGCATCGTGGACGGTGACAAAGATATGTTGTGGATTCATGTATTTCATCAGCCCACTGGACGTTAGGATCTTTAAAACACTCTCTGTGCACAGAGAACAAGCGGTCAGCATGTATACTCTCTCTAGAAAATATGAAAGCTTCTACATAAAAGTTTGCACAGAATAAAGCAGAAAGAAAACAATTAGGAATAAAATATTTGGGGTACATGGGCCTCACCATTGCAGTTAGCCAAATATACATGAACTCCAACTTTCTGGCACTCAGTACACATCTAAAGGGGGGGAAAGCAATAAATTGCACTGATTACAATGCATCAAGAAATAAGGAAAAGCCTACGGTGACATGGTGTAATTCAGGCTCAATGTTTTCAATTAGGTCTTACTTTCACCGACTAACCTGTGTCAGGAGTCTTGCTCCAGCAACATCAACAAATATCACGCTGCTGCAATCGATTAACACTGCCTGGTCATAGCTTTCAGATGTTTCTGCAGAAAAAATGTATTCATTTGAAAGTTCAAACTATTTGCAATACAAGAACGTCTTCAGAAAATGTTAATATGGTGTGAAAAAGTCTCTTGATATTTTTTTTTAAATTCATGAAATAGCAGTTGTATTTAGAATTGTTTACTTAGCATACACTTATACAAAGTCATTGCTTACCTGATTTGAAGAACTCATTTTCTGAGGAAAACGATGTGTTTGCAATCCCTCTTTCCTACAAAAAAACACAGGGGGAAGCGGAAAGTTACTGAAGTATTTTGTATTTTTACCATGTATGTGTACTCTATTTTTTTTTTTTATATTTTGTGACTCAGATTAACGAGGAATAGAAATAATCATACCACAGTGCTGACAGTGGTCTCCCTCTCCCGTTTCTCCAGGGCTTTTATGGCCTTCTCCCGCCTGCGGATCTTCTCTGGTGTCAGGCCCAGCAGCCTAATCATTTCCTCCCTGAAGAAGCTACGGTTGCCGTAGTAAATGGGCCCGTTGTAAGTCAGGATTTTCACTCCAGGCACTTCGTAGCACTGTAAGAAAAATAGAAATGCATCACCTGTATTCTTGGATATTCATACTGCAAATCCACATGCAAATTTGACGAGATATTGACAGGGTGAGAGAAAGTTTGTATATTTCTGGAGCTGGTTGCTCATTTTCATATTTCAAAGAAGAGAAGTAACCCTCGCTCACCTTGTTATGGTTCTCCAGAGGTCTGTAAATTTCTGTGTTGCTGGCCCGACCAAGCACTGAACAACCAGCCCTGTTAAATCATAAACTTTAAATTAATATAATAAGTTATGATAGACCACATATGCTACTTACATACATGAAGTATGATGTTTGTGTTTATGTGAGTTTTATTTTTAACCTTCCAGATGTGCACATTTTCCCTTATAAGTGCTTTTGCTGGATTGCACTATGGTATTTGTGCAGAGGGAATGGAAAATGTACCTTTGTGTGCGGCAGATGACAGTCATCATAGAGAAGACCACCCCGATAGCCAGGCCAAGGTCCACATTGAGTATCACCACAGAGAGCCAAGTTACAAGCCAAACCATCTACACACAAACAGAGACACAATAATGCATTGTCTTGTCAGGATATAACAGGATATAAATTATGATTAATTCTAGCCTAGCAATTAATGCGAAGGTGCAAGGATCAAGCAATTTATGTGATGTGCTCCCCGTGTTCCAGTAGGTCAGGATTCCAGGGTCCTGATTAATGCTTCTTGGCTTCAGGCAGTGTTTATTTCAAAAAGTCTGGCAACTGATGATGCCGCACTTATTGTTTAAAGACAGTACAGGTGACATCAATTTGTCAAATGAACTTGGAATAATTGAGTGTTAGTATTACAAAGTATGGAAGACGTGCATGGAAAAATATTCACAGCATTTCTTTAAATGGCACATACTTTGACACAGTTCAAAGCTGGAGATACTTTTATCCTGCATGATTAAATTAAACATTATAATATACTTCACTCCACCTGTGTAAAATGTTCACTAGACCAAGGAAATCTGTGTCACTAATTCTTAAAGTTACTTTAGTTGCTGCACTAATTACTTAGAAGTCTGGATGACAGCTATGAGGCCAGTCTTCTATCTCCACACTGCCAGCAAGAACTTCTGCTGCAATTCTGGAAATTTGAGGAAAAACCCAGCAATATGACATGAGGCTTTAACCCTGTAAAGCCTGAACTATATGAAAATGGCCAGAAAATTCTCATTTTTTTAAACTGGAGCATTTATTTAATCTTCAGACCTTTTTTAAAAAAAAAAAATAGAAATTAAAATATCAATTTGCATATATTTTTTTTTAACTTGTATCATGTTTGCTACTGCCAGCATTTTTGTTCAATTTGTTGCTCAGAGGGTTGTTTTTTTTTATCATAAACAAACAAAAGCAGGTTATGGTTAAAAAAGAAATCCTCCTGATGATGTAGAGCAGGGATGCCAAGCTCATTTTACATTACACTTTGATCTCATGTGGGCCGGACCAGCGCAATAGTCCTTTCTGGCAGCGTACAGAAGTTTATCTATATATTTAATCCCTGAGATAGCTATTTATATGTCTATTTGCAGTGTTTTAAAATAAATAAAGATTCTGGCTGCATTAAATAATCATTCTTCAGTTTTCTGGTATTTATTTGTCTTCAGAGGTGAGAAACACTTATCGTGTTATAGCTTGCTTTTAAGTGGCCTTACAAAGTCAATTTTACTGATTCTCCACAGGTCAGGTAAGTCTTGGAACTGCAGGAACATCTGTCTGAGGCTGGTAACATTGATGCATGCCAGGACTGCCTACAGACACAGACAAAGGATAGGATAAGTGAACTTGCCCCCTCTCCTTCTCTAAAGGTTGTTGAGACACATATTTAAGCTCACCTTGGGTAGGAAGTAGAACAGTGGTCCAATTAGCAGAAGAACAATCAGGACAACAAGACTAGTGAACAACCCAGAGAGCTGCACGAATACACCAAAAGATACAAGGATTTCTATGTTAAATGTAAAATTAGCATTTTGTATTCTCTGTGCAGATTGTTTGGAAATTGAAGCATGTTTTTCTGCTCCTATTATAACATCAGTATAACATCAGTATAACATCAGGTGTCACATTTTCTGCTCCTTGGTGAGAACTCTTAGTGGAAACTGAATATCATGTATGCTACCTGTGTGTATCCTCCAGCACTCTCGAGTATATTAGTGGTGGCTAAAGTGGCTGAGCTAGGGAAGCAGGTAAAAAAGGATGACACTGTGTTGGAGATCCCATGAGCCAGCAGCTCCTGAAATAAAACACAGGTTCAGTCCAAATACCTGACAGATTTGCAAGAATCAAGCAGTGACATTCCTACATTTTACCTGGTTGGGGTGTATAGAATATCCATGTTTATCGGCATAAATCATTGCCAGTGAGACGGACACAGCATAGCCAACAAATGTTATGGCTATTGTGTCCCCAGCAATAGCAGGGAACATGTGAAAGGCAGGCAATTGTGGCCTCGGGAATCTGAAGACCACAAGATTTGTGAAAATTAGTCAGAGCACTTTTAACTACCGAATGAATCAGTCTTTTATTTTATTTTATTTTTAAATTTAAGTCTAAAAGCTTACCCAGCAGGGATATGGCCAACTATCTCAATGTTGTAAGTGGAGTCCAGTGAGCAGGCATAAGCCACACCTGTGGCAATAATCACCTGAAGCATAAAGTCAGAGTTACAACTGTAAATTATTAAATATATCTTTAGCGTTCACAAAGCTAGTTAACTAACCGTGAGGATCTCCACAGGGATAGGTGTTCGGAGACGTTTCTTGAAACGCATGTTGAGCTCCTTAACTGGTACCAGGATGGCCAAACACACCAAAGAGATCAGCAGCTCCGCCATGTTAGTGTGAGGCAGGTTTTCCATCACTGATGCTAAAGTCTGAGCACACAAGACCGTGATAAGACTACAAAAATAACTCTTTGCTCCAATGAGAACACTTCTTCTTCACCAAGAAGCACTGCTTTTTACCTTGAAGAGAGAGAAGGCCCCAGTGTGGCGAGGGAGCCGCAGGCCCAGCATGCTTTGCAGCTGTGAGATGGTGACATGGAAGGCGGCAGCACTGGTGAAGGCCTTAACAATTGGCTCAGATAGGTAGGTGGAGAGAAATCCCAGCTGAAGAGCAAACATGCAGAGCTGGGCGAAAAGAGTTTAATGTAACACTGTGAGTTTGATACACACATACACTATTATTTCACTTTATTGACTTTCTGTGTCTGTTTTACCATAATAATTCCTGAGAGAAGTGCTATAGCTGAGGCCACTCCAATTCTCTGGGCTTCAAAGTCACTCGCTTCAGAAGAACTTGAGTTAATCTCCAGAGGACTGGGAACCAGCTGCTCCACCACAGAGCCAGTCATCAAACTCACTACAGCAAAGGTCCCTGAAAAGAGGCCAAACATATCCATAAAGCAATATAAAAGTAATCTGACTTTAATTCCAAGATATATGCTTCAAATCATTTAACCCTCACATACAGGTGGGGTAACATTGACCTGTTTTTCATAGCCTGAAATGTGATGACTTTTCCTAAAATTAACCAAAACACAAAAAAGGGAAATATATTATTTACAAGCTAGAAGATTCAGTATATTTAAGGCTTGGTCAAATTTGACCTGCATCTTTGAGACATTGGAAATGGTGTTTTTAGGGAATCTTCAAATTGTGAAACTGTCTGTGTGTATTTTTATGTGATACTGGTGGTTCAAGGGGGACATTGACTGTCCCAACAACTGCCTTTGTTCATCACATTTACCCAGGTTCCCCTGGTGTCAGACTCCAGCTGCTCTTTGAAACTGTGAAATAGGAAAACTGTGTAGCAGCAACCATTTAAGGTGCACAGAAGCCCAGAGGTCATTAAATCTGCAACTGCAAGCACGAGCAATGCCATAAAAGAATCTAATATATATTCTGAGATAAGTGAGATTACAACCAAGATCAATAGAACCATTGTGAGTTTCATATGATTATAAAATTTCAACGAATGCACTCAGTAGTTTGCAATAAACAAAATAGTTGTTTTTTAATAAATACTGATGATATAGATGGTAGTTATGATTGTAATGGCTTTTTAATTGTAATAGTTTTACATGGTTATATAGTAAATCCCAACAGCTCTAGAATGTTCTGGCCCTATTCAAATAATTATTGCTGCTATAAAACAGGACATAAAAACAAACAAACAAACAAACAAACAAAAACACTCCACCTGCTCTCTGAAACATTAATAAAAGATTAAGGTTCCGTTTAATAATGACATGCAGGGTATTTTACAGAGATCTGTTGTTCGAGATTCAGTATAGACACTTATTACGTGGAAGTTCTTGACCTCATCAAAACTTACAGAGAGGGCATGAAATATGCACAGTATGTGAGGGTTACATCTGATTATGACCCTGCTGTTGTCCCAGATTATTGAATTTCATCTTATACACTTCTCTGTGAATAAATAGACACCCTGTGGACTAACATCTTACCTGTGGATACATGGCGACCCGTGCCAAAAAACATATAAAGGACAACAGGAAAGAAAGAGGTGTAAAGACCAAATATCGGAGCCACGGATGTGAGTAGAGCAAAGGCCATGCCTGTTTAGAGGGGGGGAAAGAAGAAGGAGAGAAGGAAAGGACAGTTAATGGTGTGTTGCTTCTCTTTCATTTAGGAATTTACGATCTGTTCCTGTTCTTCACACTAAGGCGATGAAGGTGTAGTGTGACCAGATCAGACACCAACTATGTAAATGTACATTTAAGAAGTTTGAAGTTTACAGTTGAAACATTTTTGAAATACTTGCTCAAAATAAATTTATTTCAAAGTATCAGTATTAATAATGAACTATATTTTGTCGTGAGATGCTTTTTTTGTTAATATTAAATTTTGGCAATGTAGGATTTTAAATTTAAAAAAATTAAAGTACGAGAGAAGCTCCAAGTAATTAATTCTAACGCAAACGTTTTTCTTTTTCTCGACGCAGTGTTCTCTCACCTTGAGGAATATGAAGAATACCGACTGTGAGTCCTGCTATGGTATCTCCTAGAATCCATTTCTTTAGCTTGTATCTTGGCAGCCAGCTGAAAATGGGCACTCTCTCCCTCAACAGGTGAAGGCAGGCTCGCTTTGAACACCTGCACCTCCCTGCGAGTTTTTCCCGGAGCCGCAAGCTTCCACTGGCGTTATCGTCAGAGCCGTAAGCCTGTTTGAATCGGTCCTCCGTGTAAATGCTCCTGTATACAGCAACAGAAGCGCTCATGTTGTCCCTGCAGAGATGACTAATGACACCGTGCAGCTGCAGCAGTTAACTCAGTAGAGGTGTTGTCAGTTATAATACATTTATAGTTGACTCTACTCTGACCTCAAGAGCCATTCCATTTTCCTGTCAGACTCTAAGTAGCCAATGACATTGCTCATAGCTCTACTTTTTTTTCTTACAGTAATCAACAAGTTTTTTCACATCTTTGTCCAGCCTCAGAAATCATAAAGGTGTGCTGGTCGATTTTCCCCCCGAGAGAAATCCTCTGGGTCCTACTGCTAAAAGTTTTTTTGTTTTTCCCCCGGCAGAAGATAGAAAGCCAGACATACAATCTTCCTGTCCTTCACTCTCAATACCTACTTCTAAACACACACATACACACACACACTCCTTCACACTGCACAGCTATGTGGGAGGTCAAAGGAGGCACAATTGATAAAGTCATACAATGTATAGCACTGTGAAACTCCTAAAGAGATCAAAGTAGTGTCGCTGGTGGAGCTGAGGTGTAACCTCAAACCATGTCTGTTAACGAGGAGTTCATTTCCGAGAAGGATAAATGTCTGTAGTGGAGGGGGTTGTTTAAACTGTGTAGCCATAAGGAAAAGAGTCTGCATGGTACATGAAACCTCTGTGAAACTCAATCTTACATGGCATCCTGGTTCATGGATCAAACCACACCTTGACTCTGATCACAGATTGTATGTGATGAGTGAGATCTTCTTTGTCAGACAGGAGCGAATACAAGGGAGCTTTGGATAAATACAAGATAAAACGGGATCTGTGTGTGTGTGTGTGTGTGTGTGTGTGTGTGTGTGTGTGTGTGTGTGTTAGCCTGCTGGCCGTATTCTCTGCAAGACGCAACTTGGAAATCTAACCGTATAATCAAAACAGAAATGGTTTTACCGAATGTGTGAGCAAGGGCGAAGCAGAGGGAAATCACAGTCTCAAGAAAGGACTGGTCTGAATGGTGGAGATAAAACTAAGGAAATGGAGAATTTATCTTAAAAGTAAACCCAGTTTTGGGTGCTGTGAATGAATCTCTTCTGTCTCATGAATAAAGTCTCCCATTCTATGAGAAGCTACGTGAGGTAGGGAAGGCAACGCCACTGCTTTCTATTGTTGTACAAGGCAACACCCAGGGGTTTCGGCTTGAATGGACCCAGACCTTGGCTAGAAGGGCATCAAGTTTAAATTTGAAAATTCAAAATGTACTGTAACACACGCCCAAACATCAAAGATAACAAAGCATGAACTACAAATGTTACTGACCGTGAACCCACACGCACACTGTAATATCACTAATATAGAGCACCATACAGGTATAACAATACACTGTACAAGAACTATTATCCCAGTGTGATACCAGAGACAGGCGATCAAAATATTGTAATTATTAATGCTAAAGTTTCACTTACTTTTGAATGCTCAGTCCCAGATATTAAATCCCCCTAAAGAGCTGCAGTTCTATAAAAAATATTATCTAATTTGCCTTTGCTCACACTTACTTTGCTCAGAATCAAAAAATGCTTTGTTGGTAGATTTTAGATTTCAGCCACTGAGTTCCATAAAGCAGTCAGATGTTTTGAAGGTCTTTAATCTGACACTCCGTTCAGCAAGGCAACACAACAATCACAAAACAACTTTGTCAGGTTTGGGAAAAGGTCAGAGTTAGGGTTAAATACGTACTTGGGGGTCAGGTGAGCTTCTAATTGCTTACAATAATTAACTTATCTATTTATAACTATTACTGCACAATGCAACCAAGCTATGAAGCTGCACACTTTGCTCTCGTAGATTTCATCACCACAGTGCATCAGACACATTACATGCAGTCATCTGAGTAATTCTTAAAATAAAACTAATCACTTTTGGAGTTTTCATGAAATCATTTTCATATGTCATGTCACCTCAGCCCAGGGGGTGTTAGGTAATCTCACATACAGCGACAAAGCTGGATCCAGGTCAAGTGATTTAATTTTGAGAAATCTTTCATTCTTATTACTGTGGTTCATTCTCATTTTTTTAAATGAAAACATTAGCTAATTTGAGCTAAAACTTCCCCATGTTGTTGTTATTCCCCGAAAGAGAATTCGCTGCTAACAATGCAAGGGGAGTCAGACAGGGTGTAGGTGAAAGGTCCAAGGATGTGTTGCAGATGCAAAGCGCTGCATGGGCAAAGTGTGATGTATTCTTGCCTTTATAGCTGAATGAAATAAACAGACATGCATGTGAAGACTTGTTTTTGTTCCTGTGTCATATTCCTAGAATTTATGTCTCTGGTGGAGAAGCGATCCAGTGATATTAGGGACTTCCTTTAAATGCCAGGAATGTGGGCTATTGTGTTGATTAGCTCCAGAGGATTTATAAACATGCCAGCAGAGTGATGTGTCTGCGACTGTTTAAACAAGATATTAGTCAGCTGTTAAAGGAAAAATGCATTGAATAGAAAAGGATATTGAATGAAAACCCCAAACTACAAACAGGGTTCTCTAGGAATGGTAACAATGAAAATGTGAATAACCGAGGGGCACAGTAAGCTACAAACCTGAGTCCTTTACACAGTTAGAGCCACAAATGATTGGACAAAGACAGAATTTCTATCCACCATAGTGGCTCAAACCATAATTAGACCCTCAGCTTTATTTCAAGGGGAATAACACAATAACAGTACTACTACTACTACTACTACTACTACTACTACTACTACTACTAATAATACTACTACTACTACTACTAATAATAATAATAATAATAATAATAATAATAATAATAATAATAATAATAATAATAATAAATTGTTTGGGAATTGCAGCCATCTTTAGTTGCTGTCCCCTGTTTTCAGAGGGTGAAAATTATTGGAAAAACAATTTTAAATATAATGATTGTTTTTAATAGTTGGATGAAAATCATCTGTAGTCAGTGACTGCCTGAAGTGTTGAACCCATGAACATTACCAAATGCTGCCTTTGCTCCTTTGAGATGATCTGCTCGGCCTTTACTGCAGCCACTTTCAGTTGCTTTCGCAGTGCAGGTTTGTGTTTAATAAGTGAAAGCAGGCTCTGCTGGCTGAGTTTAGGTGACTTGCTCGGCCGTTTCTTTGACTGGAGAAACTGTCAGTCATACACGGCTCTATTATAACATTATCTCCACCATACTCACACTACATATTTTGGTTACTCGGTAATGTAATGGATTATTATAGTGAATTCATTAATCACATTGCATTTACAGTTATGTTACTTACATTACAAAAGTTATTCATTGAAATGCAGAAAACACCAGCATCCAATTCTTTTATAAGCACATCTCAGTGCAGTCCTTGGTATTTTTGGTTTCTGTCACTTTTGCAGCTGTTCCATGACATTAAGTGTCTCCCCTAAATGACTTCACCTGTGTTTTATGAGCGTCTCTTTTATTTCAACTTCTGTTGTGTTTTGTGTGCATGCTGGTATTTTCTTAGGTCGGACCTAAGAAATCGGACCTCTCAGGGACGCTGTAAGAATGGGTGGATTGAAAGAAAAAAACAACATCAAGCGTGCCCTTTTTCTTCCTTTGTAGTTTCTATAATCAGCTCATTTCAGTTTGTGCACAGAGAGGAGGAAAGTGGTGGACATCTACAAATTTTGAGGATTAAAATGCACAATATTTTTATTTTTAGTGCATAAAAGGACAAGAGCAGTTTTGTAAAGTGCAAACTGCATCTAAGACAGACACAATGCAACTAAGCATCTGCACCGACAGCATCCTAACACAAAGCTCACAAAGAACCCAGGCCGATGTTGCAGCTGAGTGTATGCTGAGCCCTGCAGCTGGAGCCTGATCTTAGGTACAGGTAAGAGATGCAGTGTTGAGCAGTCAGGCGTGCAGCATTGTAGCCTCCATTTCTACAGTACAATCAGAATTAAAGTCTCTTTGAGCTGGTTTCAGCTTTACATTTTGTGTTGTCGGTGTTGTGTTCATATTAAAACACGTACAGAAAGCTCTTGTGTGTCTCCTCTTTAGAACAGGCATTTATGTAAGTGTGTGGGACTGTTATTATTATTATTGCTAACTGGTAATTATGTGACAGTGCGGTTCAGTTGATGTTAAAGAGTAACGCAAAAATAACATAACTAGTAATGTAGCAAACTACTTTCTCCAGAGAGTAATAAATGTGCTGCATTATTTTTAAGAAAAGTAATGAGTAATGTGTAATACATTACTCATTTGAGTAACACTGACTACAACATCGGAGTAAACCTGCTGACACTAAACCAAAAACTATGGGTCCCAACGAGCTTTTTTTACATCCTTATTTTTTCTAATTTTTTTTTTCACTGTTGTTGATGTTTTTGAAGCGCAGAATTTTCCTGGAAGAAAAACAGTTATCTTGTCTAAAAAAAACCTCGACAGTTCAGTGAGGCTTGGAAAAACATCCAATCCGATGGCAGCTGAAGTTTTGTTTGGCAGCGCACCTCATGATCCCACTTTCCTTGTTGCAATAGCATTAATCACATTATAAAAATACCTCATCCAGCCTGTCTCCTTCATGCTGAGTGTGTGTCCTGATCTTACGGGGTCTTTCAATTATTCTCTTCCAGGGAGAGTCTCCAGTTACTTTGTGGCCTATAGTTCCTGCTATTGTTCTTTATCTACTTTATGGGACGCTTGTCCCGACCCCCCATGGCATGTTCCTTTGGAAGTGACCTTGTCAATGAGGCTGACTGCTAGAAGCCAAGCCTCTCCTTGTGTCTCCCTACCTCTCCCAACCCTTTCCGTCTGCTGCTCGTCTCCATCCATTAGTGCCTCTCCTTGTCCTGTCCAAGTATTGTCTGACTTCAGAAATCATCTCCCTTACAAAGCATAAGATTGAGTCATAAATTTATGGTAATTTGTCACTTACATGTCAGAAAGCTCCTGCAAGGGTTAAATGCCAAACAAAAACTAGGATTTTGTCAGACAACCACTTGATTTTCTTCAAAAAGTATATTTTTTTGTAGAAGCTTGTTTTTAGAAAATACATTAATGAAAGCAAAAATTGCATATTTTTTTAGCTTTTGTTTTTCTTCTAATAATTTTTCCATGCTTAAATACACCTGTAATCATCATCGTCTCTGTCCCCAGG